GTGGTCACTGTGGTGGCTCCTCTCATACAGTGCCACCGGTGGCACTGGAGCTCCAGAAGCCTGCAGAGATGAAACCCACCCCTGAGGAGTTCAAGCTATAAGTCAGACTCATGGGATTTTAACCCACTTGTTGTCTTCTGCCAGGTCTAACCTGGCTAGGTGTGCAGGATGCCCACCAAGGATTCCTATCTGGAGCAGGAGGTTGAGAAGCGCCCACCTAGGCTGGATGGATCTGACCTTAAACTTTGAGACTCTGCCCCAGGAGGATATAAACTCATGTTTTTTTGCTGCTGGATTGCCTGGACTTAATTTGATAGTCTCTTAAGAAGGAAGAAGTGAGAGGTGTGAACTCATCTGCAGTGGTTCTTGGAGAGCCTTTCTAATGTATCTTCATCTCCCTGTCTTGAACACGTGTTTTTGAGAGAAGCTGAAGGATAGTAGGGGAGGAGCCAGGAGTAAGGGAGCATCAAGAGAAGCATTGCAGAGGTGACATCTGAAGTCACCCTTAACACCATGTGCCAACCAAGTGGAGTCCCTGTACAAACCTGTTGTCCACGTCTATCCCCAGTTTAAAAACGTTGCAGTAAGAAGTGACTTTGAAAGGTCCATTGCAATAACTTAGAGCAGGCAAACACCAGTGCTGCTTCTGCTTCTCAGTTGTGTCACAAGAGACTTGTTATGACTTTATATGACAAACTGTTAGTGGTGTATTCTGGAAAGGTTTGGCTTCTCGTGTCTATCTGTAACCCTATATTTTTTTTTTCCAACAGATCGTAAAGATCCTTAATCTCTACACTCCTGTGAACGAGTTTGAAGAACGTGTGACAGTAGCTTTCATACGAGACATACAGGTAAATTTAAAGGGCTGTAACCTGGAGGGCACGAATGGCATCTGTGTAATTCTAGTGACATCTGTATTAAGTCACTGTTAACCCGGGAACTGTGTAATAGGCATGCTGGTGCTTGTTGTCCTGGCTCATCTATTTGTAAGGTGGTGTCGTGGTTTTGCCCACCAGCCCATCCCTGGGGCTGAGGATGGTTTTGTCCAGGTAATTTCCGGACAAAAAGGCCAATCAAAAGTCCAGTGACGCCTTTGCTAATTACATCTTCAAGAAAACGGAAGAGAAGGTTTGTTGGCGCAGTTGAAATCAGGGGCAGCAGCCATGTAGGGGAGAGGAGTAGCGGGCCCGAGCAGGGCCAGACTCCCTCCTCCCCTGGCTTGGACTGGGGTGGGGGGAGCAGGTGTAGCACTGAAGTCCTCCCTTCTCTCCTGTTCAAGAGAGTGAAGAAAAAAAGGTTTAAAAGACAAACTGCTTGGACAGAAACCGCTGTGGAAGAATTCCAGCAAAGAGATAAGGGACCTCCAAGGTCAAAACTAGCAGCCAGAGGAGAGAGAAGAAAAGTCTGAAGGGAGGAGAGCTGCTTCTTCCCCCTTTCAGTCTCTCTCTTCAGCAGAGAAAAGACTGAAAAGTAAATCCTGCTACTTGTAAAAGTTTGTTGGAGTAAGGAGACCCCCCATGCGCTGATAGAGGAGTCTGTGGATGTACCAAAAAGAACCGAGACTTCACGAGAAGGACTGAAGTGAGGCAGAGTCCTGGTGGAGATTTGTGACCCTGAGGGAAACCTGTGCTGGAGCAGTGACGACTCAGGTGGGATACTGGCATCCGTGTGTGTGTGGATCCATACTGCTGTTGAAGATTTTGTGACCCTGAGAAATCTCATGCTGGAGCGAGACGGCCCATGTGAGATGCTGAGATCCGTGCGTGTGTGGATCCGTGCTAGACCCATGCCAAGAAGTCTATCAAGGACTGTTCTCCCATGGGGAGGGACCTCCATAGGGAAACAGGGGTGAACTCTTAAGCCATTATCCCCTGTAACCCTGTGGAAGAAGATCCATAGTAAGCAAGTGTCCCCTTGCAAGCCTATAGAAGGAAGACCCTTCAGGACCTGGGTAACCCCCAGCCTTCGGTCTTAGCCCAGAAATAAGGATACTTGAAAAACAGATTAATTTTTTACTGCTTGATCTTATGTTGACATAGTTGAAAACCCATAATCATCTCCAAAAGCCACTAGCAAAAAGGAACAGGAAGTGGGAGACAGCAACAGCCTGGGATGCTGCTTATTTCCACTGCTGTGGAATTTGTCACAAAGTCTATGTTTGAGAATCATAGAATCATAGAATAGATTGGGTTGGAAAAGACCTCCAAGATCATCAAGTCCAACCCCTGATCCAACTCCAATTACTATATCATGGCACTAAGGGCCACATCCAATCTCTGCTTAAAAACCTCCAGGGATGGTGAATCCACCACCTCTCTGGGTAGGCCGTTCCAATGCCTGATTACCCTCTCTGTAAAGAA